ACACACACACACACACACACACACACACACACACACACAGATGGACATATCCTCATCCTCTTCTGGTGACAGCCAGCCAGTTAAGGACATGGATCTCTCTCATCTTTCCTTTCACTGGGTCTATTTCTGTCTCTGTGTCTTTTTATTCGAGGAAGTGTGTATGAGTACTGCTCCGGGTAAGATCATATCGCTATTAGGGGAGTGTGTTATTAGTGTCACAGACAGGGTGACAGCCCAGGCCATTCCACTTCACAGATGTTCTGCTTGGTGAGCCTTTCATAAGCTATGACAGAGAGTCGAAAAACCAAGCGGGTACTTTACTGGAGTTCTTGAAGTGTATGCACTCACTAGAAAATGTTGGCTTCTCTGCAGCAGCCTTCACTTAGTGTAGGCCCGATATCACAGCGGTCTTAAACACATAAATTAAGCTTATGAAAAAACCTGATCTTTTGGCATGCAAGATGTCCCACCAGCTGCCCCAAAAAATATAGAAATATGAAAGAGAAAGGCAAAGACAGAGCCTGGTGTCCACTCAATATGACAATACGCTTTTAAAAACCAGACAGCGAGAAGAAACTGCATGATCGAGCCGAGAAGAAAAATAAAATAAACAAACAGCAAAAAAACCAAAAAACAAAAAACAAAAAACAGAACAAGATGGACTTGAAAGGGGATAGAAAAAGTCTGTTTCAGTGAAGGGGGATGACTGCGGTGGTCCCAGTGGTCCCCACAGGGACCTGGGGGCGAGTCTCAGCCTTGTCATACTCCGCTTTTCTCCTCCTCCACTCTGCACACCAACTCCAGCCCCCCCCCACCATCCCTGTTCTGCCCACGGAAAACGTCGATAGCAGGCTGCCGGTGCCGAGGTCTCTGGTGGACACTAGCTCATTCTCCCGGCATCGACAGGCCCGCCAAATCAATATTTAGTTCCCCACTAACAAGCTGCCTCGGGGTCTGAGCCAGAGAGAGAGGGAGAGAGAGAGAGAGAGAGAGAGAGAGAGAGAGAGAGAGAGTGAAGAATGCGGGACAGTGGAGGATGGCAGAGAGAGAGAGCAGGGACTGAGAGCTGTCCAGCTAGAAGGGAAAAACATGGATTCAGTAGAGTGTTGTGTGTGTGTTAGTGTGGGAGGGGGAGAGGAAGGTGGAAAGGTCAGAAGAAGATCTGGGGAACAAGAGAACAGTGTCTGGTGTGTGTCGTGGTGCGGAGGCGACGCATGAGTGCCTGCGGCAGCCGCTGACAAGAACACAGACAAGACACACACACATACTCGACACTCTCAATCATACACATATCACAGCGAGCAGACGTTGACAGCACTCGAGCAAAGCTCCAGCAGAGCACTCACAGATGACTGGCTGTGTGCACACAAAGACTCCAACACAGCCACAATCTAGTTGCTTTTCTTTGTTTATCTTTTGCATTATTGTCTTTTTTTTTCAGAGGCTGAGCAGGATCGTTGGGGTGGGAACAAAATCCTCCACTTACTGTATTTGGTGGCCAATTTTTGTTTTTCAAGCACTGAAGACTGACAAGTAACAACGCCACATTTGGCTAAACCAAACTGTAACGTAGACACCAAAACATCCACTTAATCATAGATAAATAAATAAAATGCCTTAGTCAATAAATAAATAGATTTCTTCATTGTTCAAAAACATATACAGTGCCAGCCAAAGGTTTGGACACACCTGAGGGCCTGGATATCTCTAATTATCTGACACAGCTTTTATTAAAAACAAACAAAAATGAAGCAACATCTATGACGCACAAATGCACTGAAATGAAACTCTTTGAATCTCTTACACAGTGAACATATTACATGTTAAAAAAATACCCTAAGTTTTTATCAAAACTCAAAAATTCTAAACAGAACATCTGTGATGTTTGGAAGAGAGGAATTTTTACAGCGAAATCATCCTGCTCACTCTTTGGGTGTCTTTAAACGAGCATTTGTTGTTTCCTTTTCCTCTCACTGCTGCTGCTGCTGATTTATCCCAAACAACTACATAGTAACAAAGTAAGCTAGGACCAGATATTACATATATTTGATAGAATTTCCTGCTTCAGTATGGCAAAGAAAGCTCAACTTACTGTAGGTCAACAGCAACTTACAGCATGAATGCATGTTTTTTTTTTAGGTTCTCTGTTATCTCATCCAATCCGATCCATCCATGAAACTCATGAACATGGAGACACAGTCCATCCAGCCAGCCATCCAATTCAGGGTGGCGGGGGGCTGGAACCACCATAGGACGAGGGGCAGGGTACATCTGGACAGGCCACCAATTTATCCCACTGCCAACGCACACACACACCCATTCACACTCACATTCACACCTATGCGCAATTTTGAATCACTAGTTAACCTAACCCCACTGATAAAACAAGCTCTTGCAAATATCCATCCATCCATTCGCTTCCGCTTATCCTTTTCAGGGTCGCGGGGGGCGCTGGAGCCTATCCCAGCTGTCATAGGGCGATAGGCGGGGTACACCCTGGACAGGTCGCCAGTCTGTCGCAGGGCTAACACATAGGGACAGACAACCATTCACACTCACATTCACTCGCACATTCACACCTAGTGACAATTTTGGATTAATCAATTAACCTATCCCCACAAGCTGCATGTCTTTGGACGGTGGAGGAAGCCGGAGTACCCGGAGAGAACCCACACAAACACGGGGAGAACATGCAAACTCCACACAGAAAGACCCCGGCCTGATGTTGGAATTGAACTCAGGACCTTCTTGCTGTGCGGCAACAGTGCTAACCACCGTGCCACCGTGCTGCCCCCTCTTGCAAATAATAACTAAATAATTACTACTAGTACTACCTGTTGCCCAGTGTCAGCTGGGATACAGCCCCTTAGTGATCATGAATTAGATAAGGGGTTAAGGAAATGGATTGATAGCTGGCTGGAAAACAAACTTGCTTTGGTTGGGAAAATACATAATTGCCTTTCTGTTGAAATAAATCATGCACTTGTTTGTTATGTTAGACCATATTAGCAAGTACATTTCTGCAATGTCTTTTTAATTCCCTGTGCAACCAATACTGAAAATAGGCCTGCCTGGACTGCAGGTAATGACTTATTCGAACACAGTAGTAACTGTGCAGTAACCACGAATTACTTATATAAAGTAAACAGATTAAAGTGTGACTGGTAATTAAAATCTTAGTGGGACTAAAGCAAGCGTTTGTGTTTTTGCACATTAAAACAAAAATATATTATTTTGTGACTATTGCACTGCCTAAGCAGGAACAAGTTATGTGATCATTACTGCAAGTAGATGAGACTGACCTTCTGCTGGAGAATGTGGTTTACATGGGCCAGCCACTGCTGATCTCTGGGATACTCTGAGCAATCTGCCGTCCCCTGTAAACACAAAAGGAGATTCTCAGCAGTGTTTTCTTTTAGAGATCATAGGACAAGGAATCAAAAGTGTTGAGCGACAACCTTCATTAAATTGTAGGAATATTTACATTTTGTATAAAATGTCACGTCAGACATTATTGAGGTATAATGTTTCTACAAAGAAACACATTTGTTGCCAAAGGACAGAAATGTAGCACCAGTTGCACCAGTTAGGACCTGTAAGAAGCATTGTGGAGACTATTGCAAGGTATCCCAGCATGCCTCTGCATACTACTCATGTGTAAAGACCTAAGAGAGTGGCAGTGCTAATGAACATGGTGAAACGGAACTACATGGCCATGAGCACGTACTCCTGAGCTACCTATGCTTCCTCTTCACTTCAAATCCAAAGTGTCACTGGACAAGATGTGACGCGACTTGTGCTGGCTCGCAGGGATACAAGAGGAAGAGCAGGAGAAAAGTCTGAGTGCGTGTGTGTGTGGGTTTGAAAACGTCCCTGCAGTGACACAATGGCTCTAACAGGTACAAAACCGTTTCATGTGAGTTGGAGTTATCTTAATTCTATGTGTCCACTTTTTACTTCTTCTTTCAATGTAATTACAGTATTAATTAAATAAAGCTTTCATAAATTCAGCTTTATGTACTGTGTACTAATAAAGCACATTACATTATACAAAGACTAAAGGGAATCCATGCAATTTCAATCGTTTTTCAGTTTTTCTACTTGATAAATGTGTCAAATTACAGAAGTTCTGCTAGCTGGCTGCTTTTCTGTATTTATACTTTTTAAATCATGTATTTTTTTATTTATTACTTAACTACTTTGGTGTAGTATGAAGGGCTATGGGAGAGGTCTTTATCAACAGGAAAATCTAAAAAAATGTATGTCCTCTATATTTTCCAAAGCCATCAAGGAGGCTGGGCCAATTAAGGCCCCTGGGTCTTACATTTGACATCATTGCTATAGACAATTAAATTACAAATATCCTCTAAATTTAGACAAATAAATACAAAAATCCTGAACCATGGAAGATAACAGAAAATCTATCTGTATATTAAAGGATGTTTTCACTGTTGTATTTGCTGGCCCTTTGTTTAATTATGTATTCACGATAATCAAGGCTTTTCTTTAACAAAGCAGCTTGCCTTGTTTTTGTCTTACTGGAAGCACTGGAAGGATATATTTTAGTACTGGACATGTTTCATTTCACTGCACACTTTATCCCACTAACCTTGACATGATGGCTGGGAGCATTCACATACCACAGGATGTATGACAACAGTCTGCAAGTCTGTATCTCTTCCTGTTGATCCCCAGCTGTTTGGTACCCTATATAAGGTCTCTGGTGATAGTGCTTGTTTTGCCTAATTAGTGAATGATGCTTGGGAAACAGAGACCTACATCGAAAGCAAGGTCATAACAAGTGTGTGTGTTTGTGTGTTTATATTACTGAGAAAAAAAGAAAGCCTTTTGTGAGTGCTGTCTTAAAACATCTCACAACATAGGTGAACACTGTGTGTAAAACGCATGTATGCACTGTGTGAAAGTGTTTGCGTGTAAATGTGTGGGCGCTTGCTGGCCCTTGATAAATACATAACAAAGCACTGACCCTCCATCCAATATCAGGTGCAAAACAAACTGGCCTGGCAATTATAGCTTTATTACATCTGGATCATTAACTCCACAACAAGTTGCCAAGGGAGCGTGGAGCTGCTCGGGCCTTTCTGCGGCTCTGTTGCACACATGAACTGGATAGTGGACAGTAAGAGTGTTGAGGATGACAGCAGTGTGTAAATATGAGTGGAATAAGTGTGTTTCATTTAATTATGTGTAGCAAAGAAGCAAAGAAGTGAATATTGATATTAATTAGTAAATGAAAAACAACATTCCTAAAGATGGGATGCTGTATAAACTGTATGATTTGCACGTTACTCAAGCCCTACATATTATATAACAGAATCAGTACAATAACACCTAGACATTTTGCTGATATGCTGATTTTAAAATTGATGTTTAAAGCTCAGGGAATTCCTTGATACATAATGAGCTAAATGCTTTGTATGGGTGACAGGTTTATCACTGACTAGATTGGCATTTTCTCATTGAAAACATGCAAAGTCTTCATTCAAGAGCAGTTATATGCACTCCAAAACTTGTAGATAATGTTTAGTAATAATGGGTTCTTTGCAGACGTGCAAGTCCCCCCATTCCATTGGCACTAATGTGCTCCCATACAATCAAAGGTGCTGGCTTTTGTAGTGATAACAAGCCAGACGGTTTTTAGCTCAGATTTAGATTTTGAGAGTTTTTTTCAGCTCACCTTAGTCCATCTGAACTGAGCATTTCTCCATCTTTGTTATTTATGTGTCTTCTTTGCACAGCCGAGTTAAAACTCGCATTTGTGTATACAGTGACGAATGCGCTCACTGACAATTTTAAGGCAGAAACAAGTGAACAAAGATTATTTCTCTAGAGAACAGAAAATGCCTAAGAATAGGAAAAGATGATGGTCATTACAAGAAGGCCATCTATTCCCCAAATCCCCTGAAATTGTAAATAGAACCAGGAATAATTCACTTAAACAATTTGAAACACTTGAAATTCAAAAATGTATCGATTTCAAAACCAAGTAGTAGTGCCCTCCAAAGCTGAAAACTTCTAGAAATATTGTTGACAAGAGACATCAAACTAAAAGAAAGTAACTGTTGGCAATGCAGCGTTCTCATTTAAAAGTAAAAAAAGAGAAGTAAAAGCAATCCCACAGAGCCTGAACTCTCATTCAGCTCACTGGTATCGCAAAACTAAATGAATAAATGAATAAACTTGCTATGTGTTGGACTTGTTGAACACTGCTGGGACATCCTGATACAGTAACATCGTGTCAGTCCTCAAGCTCAATGAGTAACTCACAATCGAAAAAGATTGTGGAGACGCTGCTCAGAGTTTACTGAGCGAGGAGCATATTTCAGAAACAAATAACATGAAACATTTGCTTGTACAAAATGCTAAAGAAAAAAATCATGAGTCAGTACTTTGTCACATATATAAGTGAGTCCAGATTGTGGATAATGATATAGAGTGATTTTTTTTAATAACCACAAGCTGTTAGGAATCTTCTGCATATATTTTGCTTACAGCTGAAGGAAAAGGTTTGTGAACACTTTGCTAGTTTCTGATTTTCTGTATAACCGAGTCCAATTTTCCAAGAAGTGGAAAAACAGAAACAAATATCCTGATCATTCTTGAACAATAGCTTGGAGGAACTTTTGCTCATTGCCTCGCTCACGTTTGCCCAAATGAACTTTCTACATGAGGTTCTGTTCAATAAAAGACGGAACTTTGACATGTTCAATCCAAAAATCATATTTATTCGTTTTTGGCTATTCTTTGCTGGGATGACTTGTGTGCTGAGCGGCTGCTGTCTTCCTGCATGACCCACTTTCTCTTGAGATTTAGATGTCCTGACATTTTCCTTTAAAATTTGCTGATTTATTTCAAAACTCATCGCTCCATCAATGATGTTCTGCCATCCTGGCCCAGATGCAGTGAAGCAGGTCCAAACCACAATCGCCACATTTCAGAGGTTACATTGGAATTCTGCATTTTCTTCTCTCTGAACATCATTCGCATTTAAATAACTTCTATTTTGGCCTCATCTTTCTAGAAAACATTGGGAAACCAGCTTTCTGGCAGGCGAACAAAATATTTAGACTGAGAATGGTTACCTTTTCCTTGAAGCCCTGTCATGCACATCATTACTGTTTAGAGTTCTCTTGGCGGTACACTCATGAACTCTTTTATGAACCAATGTTGAACTAATGAGGCATTTAGTTGCTTAGAAGTTACCCTGGGATCCTTTGTGACCTCCTAGACTGTTACAAGGCTTCCTCTTGGAATGATTTGTTGGTCAACCACTCCTAGTGGTGTTGAATTCATTTGCACAAAGGCAGCCCGGTTATGAATTGCTTATGTCCCTATTTAAAGATCATTTTGTAGCATGATAAACATAAACAACAACTCCCTGTTCTTTAAATAGAAACACCCGATTATCATTACAGCCTACAAATTCCTGAGATCTGTGTAATTTTTCAAATATAATATTGGGCACCTTTTTCCTGAGTCTAATAGTTTCTTTTCATCTCTTTAATGGGGCTGTCTTTGTCTAGTTTTATGAGTTAAAAGGGAATGAGACTGGATGGTTATTTGGGCCATATTTAAACAGAAAGGGTTCACAAACTTTTTTCCAGGAACAGTACCTGCTATCCCAAGTGAACAACAGACTACATTATAGTGTAGTCTTTCTTTTGAATTTTAACAGTAAAAAAGTTTTAACCTTTTACATCCTTTAATAAACACAGACACAAGGGGTAAACAAACCAGTGTTAAGGCACCAAGTAGATTCTAATAAACCATCACTAATAAAATGCAGTGGAAGAAAACAGGTGGTGAAGAGAAAAAGAGTGATTTTACCAACAGAGGTTAAAGCTTTGGTGAAAGGGACTGTTTGTCAAGTGAGAAACTGTTCCCTTTCATCTCTTGGGTGGAGCTGTGCAGCAAAGGGCTAAAATTGGTTTCAAGTGTGAGTAAGTGTCTGCTGCGCCCTCTCTCATCTTGTGATAGATGGGAGGAAGTCCCCAGGGATGTGAGGCTGATTGTAACATAGGGCTGCTAATTGATGACATGGCTGGGTGTGATCTATGGTGGAGCGATGGCCCACCAAGTTGTAAAAGAGTCTGGAAGACTTCTGAAAACCGACAACACTCAATAACAAGGAATTTTCTGTTCAATGACTGCTTTTACCTGAAAGGAGGGGTAAAAAGTTGTACGCACTCAGCTTGTGCCATTATTAAATCTTATATCAAGTTGATATGTGCTGCAGGAGTTGACAGGTTTTTGATCTTGCCTGGATTGAACACTCACTTTAAACATGGAGTCTTCGCTTTGGCACTGTTACTTCCCATCTTATTAGTGACATGCCTCTGCGCATTTTTTTTAAAGTTGTCCAGGATTGCTTACTTGCTCTATCTACGCATCAATGAGAGGAGGTCAGACACAAGCAGACATTTCCAGGAAGGTTAAACACTGTTGGACAATGAAATGATGGCACCTACTTCTCTCCTCTTTCCTTCTTTTCAGACTGATGCCAATCTATAGTTTCTTTTCCCAGCGGACAGAGCAAAGTAGCTCTTTGACACTAATTTTGCTTTACTTGACAAAGAAGATACCCAAAGCCAAAGCCAATATTAATGCCATACTGTCCTTGCCAATCCATGGTGCACATGCACAGAAACAAAAAAAACTTTGAGGATGTTTCAAAATTTTACAGCATTAAAAAAAATCTATCACAGGTATGCTGAATGCCCTGGGCTTAATCAATCCTAAACTTGATATAATTCTTTAACTCAGAATTTGTATATAATCGTGAACACAGTCTCCTGGGCTTACCTGATCAGTTTCCATTATGTCTGCGAGATCATTCTCTGACATATTGAGGATGGAGGCAGCAATGGACTTGGCTTTGATCATAGACTTGGCTGAGAGGCCGCCCTTTGCTGCCACAGAGTTGGCCTGCCTCAACCTCCTCCTCTTCATCAACTGCTGCTTGACCTCTTGAACGTCTAAAAGTATTTCACTGGCCAGGGCCTGAAGGGGGAGGAGAAAAAGGAATAAAAAAAGAAGAGGATGATGAAATGGATGTAGAAAAACAAGAGGGATAGCTCTGCCTGGCAGATGAATAAATGAAATTGATCAAGCATGCGCCAGAGAGGCCTAGTACATTATGGAGGAATATTGAGTTTGACACACTCAGATTCTCTTCGGTTTCGCCTCACGCTCCCCTGTAGGAATGTGGACCTGAGGGTTTGTTGCCCTGTCGATTGAAAGCTGAGGGAACAGAGCTTTGATATCAAACGCACCCCAAGTTTTGCTAAATTCTCCACAGACAGAGAATCATGCATCAGAGAGAGAAAGACAGGGAGCTACTGAAAATACAGCCATTCATTTATTTATTTGCTTTCTGAATGTCTCACAGTACAACAGGGCAGCATAACACTGTTAATAATTAAGCTACGAAGGGCTGTTTCAAATGGTGCCCAAGTGAAAGGCAAGCGAGACGAGGAAGGCCTGCGATGGCACAGTTGTCGGGCACTAAATGGGAGTTTGCTCTAAATACAGAGAGACAATTAAATGTTAAAACTGCCACTGTACACGAGAAAGTCAATAAAGTAAACTCCCCTTTGCTTCATTTTGAGCTTATTGATCGAGGCAATAATCTTCTGTATCATTCCCTTGTAAGCCCGCTGAAAAGCTGACCTTGGAATAGATGGTCAGATGAGGGAAAGCTAGAGACAGGAGAACTTGCAGTACACAAAACAAAATAAAAAAGAAACACAAAGTACAACTTCCTCTTGGACGGCAGAAAACACAAGCAGGCAAACAAGAAGCGCGGGGCACGTACACCGACACAAACCTAAGTACAAACACAGAAAGCACTCAAGGGCTTTAAAGTAACACTGGTAATCACACATGAGCAGCGCTGAATTGCGCAAAAAATCTCCACTTTTCTGTCTTAATTTTACACAGGTGCACCAGGTGCAGTTTACAAAACTAGAAGTGGTCCCTGCTGGAGACTGCTGAGAGAGTAGTTAAAGGCTTGCAGTTGACATAATGCTTCTGGTCTATTAGCAAAACACTGAACATTCAGAAATACAAAGGGAATGTCTTTAAGGAAGATCATAATGTAGTAAATTCATTCAAATCAAAAAAATTAAGTTTAAATGTTTCGGGAAAAAGTTAAAAAGTGAAAGTGTGAGATGTCAGTACAGATTCACCAGTTGCACTTCTAGAAAACAGTGTGACAAAGTCTTGATTAAACTTCAAAATGCAGCATTAGTGAATTATTTTCACAAGCATCCATCCATTCATCCATCCATCCTCTTAATTGCTTATCCAATTTAGGGTCGCTCGGAGGCTGGAGCCTATCCCAGCTGTCACACGGAGAGAGGCGGAGTAGCTCTGTGATATACTGGATAGGCTGCCAGTACATCGCAGGTCTCAACACCGTGTTAACCCCTGTACCTCTGTGCCGTCACAATTGCTTCTACTTTCATATGGATATAAATATTCAAGATGATGAACAGAAGACATAAACACTAGTTATTAAGGAAGCCAGCTTCAGTTCATTTAGGTCATCTTAGCTCTATTCAGCCTTAGGGAATATGCAGCTCATTAACTAACAGTTGGACATCCTATTCTTATATTTACAGCCCAATAGACATTCACTCATTAGTCAAGGGTTAAATTCAATTGCCGTAAATATTGTGTGTGGAATCATCCAGAAGGAGCTTAAGGGGTGACTTTATCACTCATTTTGACTCTGGGAGAGATGGCTGGGACTGGCGAATGCAAGCGTTCACACATACAAGCTTTTGAAATACACAGAAGGAAAAATGTGTGTGTGTGTGTGTGTGTTTATTAAGAGGTCTTAGCCTGGCGAGTACCACAAACAGTATGGCCAGAGGGCCAATTTAGACAGGACGAGGATCAGGGCATGGAGATGTGGATCAAATGAGCAGCTAAAAGATATCCTCTTTGATAATAAACTACCATTGAATTAGCATTTACACACATGAGCACACAATGGGCCCTTTATAAATAAAAAGAACAGAGCAAGAGGAGAAATGCTCTAATTTTGTTGGATCATCTACCCACTGATAATAGCAACTGCTGTTTAGCAGTTTATTGCATACCCTATGAGCCTGAATGAGGTTGCGGAAGTTTGTTTCACAGAATATGAAAGTCATATGTGGCTCTCACATCTCTTGTTATGAATTGTTTTGATTTCCTGCATGTCTGAGCCTGACAGCATTTTAAAGTAATTAAAAAACACACATCTATATTTAAAAAAAATAGGGGATGTAGGGATGACTGGCCAAAAATTGTACTTTTTGTACTCTGCAAGAGAAAAAACTCCTCTGTGTTTGTGTATTGTGCAGCAGTCACTACATGCAGGGCCACTGTTTAGCAGTTCAAGAGCAGTGCTTACAGCCTGGGGCGTGCACAGGGGCCAGAAGGGTTTGCTGGCACACAATAAAGAAATATACACACACACACACACACACACACACACACACACACA